AGTTCCGAGAAATGCGTAGCCAATCACCTTGCAGCTTTTATGGAATAGCTGCAGGTTGATTGGCTACACATTTCTCGAAACTAGAACTTGAACCAAGTTCTTGGATCGTGGACACAAGGCTTAAAAGTAAGTTTTAAGTTTACCTCGAATAAAAGTCCAAATTGACTTTTCATATATTTCTTATTCTTCTAAAGTAAAATTTCAAATTTTCCTAAGGTATACTTCCCCAAGGGAGATCTTCAGCGCTGGCAGTGAATTTTGGAACACAGCCATTATATGGGACTTTGATTCTCGAACTCACGTGAATTTGTTTGCATATGAAATGGACAATTTACGCAAGTCTCTAAGATTTTGTGTAAAAATAAAATAAATTCAACTTTTAACATTTTAATTTCTTTTTATTATTAACTTAACTATTGATTCGATTAATTTTATTGTGGGTTAACTCGTATCTTAACTAAGTTAAATTTTCGAGGCTATTAACTTTAATTTAACTTACATAAAAGAAATGATACTTACTCAACCCTGTTTATATGTTTCATAATACCAGCTACTTTGCTTTGAACTGAGATTACCAGTGATAAAATATCCTATTCTCGTGGGTGATAAAATTACATAGCAACCGTTTACGTAATGTGATGAATAAACGACTAAACATTGTCGGCAGAAAATGTCGCGCGATTGCTCTCAGTTTACCCCGCATTACGAAACGAGCGTTGGATTTTACATCATCGCGTGGTGCGAGCGAGTCGAGGTGAGATACGTCGAATGAAAAATCGACTGGCCCTTAATAAAAGGACATTAAATCGCGGGATAAGCGGGTTCCGTTTACGCACGCCCATGCGTGAAGGCATTAAACCGCAGGATTAATAATCGGCATTCACGGTCATCGCACGCAACCTGAACCCGGCCGAACTCGCTCTTATTACAGCGACTAATGCGCTTGGCACGTATTTCTATAATTAGCGTGATAACATCGGCGCGCCAGCATCCCCGGCCGTAACTCGACAGGAGGAAAAAGGATCAAGGAGAAACGAATCCTGATGTAGCAAACAGTTTTCTAATTTTATCGCGCAAGTTGGCCGTTCGAGCAAGTTTGCAAAAACGGCGGGACGCGATCACGAAAGGGATCTAATGTGTAATAAACAGAATTTATACACAGAAATATAATATGTATGCATGCCGCATGATTCGCAGTGGCGTATAAAACGCTAAGTAACATACCTTGTAAAACCTTGATTTAACGGATCCCAATATAACGGATTTCGCGTATTACGGACAAATAAAAATGTGCATCAAGCGCAATTTTATATTGCATTTATATCACGCGGTCAGATTGCATACAGCGCGCTTTGGCAATTTCTGAATTGTGACTTTATTCATTAAATAATCTTGCAATTTAAAATGACGTCAAGTGATAAGAAAGTTAAAAGGAAATGTGTGAACTTAAATGTAGAGCTGAAATTAGAGTTACTGGAGAATTTTTTATTGTACAGTATTTTTTTACATTAAAAACAATTTTAAAAGTTCGAATTCAACTTAACATCTTTTCTAGTCGTCAGTTTGTTAAATCTAGGTTTTATTGTATGTATATGAGCAGAATATTTATTCGAGATGATAATCTATTTTGCACGATAAATTTTAAGTGGCTGTCGTTCTGAAAATGTAAGATTTTCCTCGATAATTTGATTTCCCACTTTGTAAACAAATTAATAAAGAATAAAGTGTGGATTTTCATCTTTGAAACTTTCTGTTTTAGATGATTTTATATAATAAAAATTATTAGTTACTTAAAAAACTGCAAAGTTTGATAGCATTTGTAATTCTCTAAACAACACGCATGTCTAAACGATGTTTGTACGTTCTCTGGGTTCTTTCTTGAAATCTCAAACATCATCTCTATTTCCGAGCATGTCGGATACGTTGCCTCTTTAGATCTAAAATGTTGACGAGAAAACGCTCACGGAGATTTTTGTGCTAACAAAAATTAATACACCTTTACAAGTTAAATTGAAGAAAGTTGTAAATATATTTAAACGGTAATATTTGATTCTCCTTTTATTTCTTAAATAAGCGTCGTTTCTCAATAGAATCTTAATTCCAAGCTTAATTAGATATCTGATTTAATAATTATAAAAATATTCCCACTTATAAAAAGAATTAATAATGTAAAGTCGAGTCGAATTTCGTCGTTGCCTCTTTCCCGCGATGCTGATTAGTCTTCTCACAGTACGCTTAGGACGAATCGTGAGAAAATGTCATCGTAAAAGATCGCTCATTTGATAGTCGGAATATCAAGAAGGTTAGTAGCGTAATGTTGTATAACTTAACTAGTTATTGAAAGAAAATGCTAGATTCTTTCCAACTAAATATTATAGTATCAAAGTTTAATTTTCTAAAGTCTAACTTCCTATCGTTTAAGAATCTTTCTTCCCTGTTTCTTCTAATCTCGAATGGTGTGCTGCAAATTCTAGATTCTATCCAATTAAATATTATAGTATCTAAATTTAATTTTCTAAAGTCTAACTTCCTAGCGTTTAAAGTCAATGGCACACGATACTATATTTCTTACTGGATTGCTTACGAGAGCCAATCAGGATTGAGCCTTAGGTCACCTGATCTAAAAATCTGCATCTTTATTGGTTCTCGTAAATAATCTAAACAATACTAGAAAAATAGTATCGTGTATCGTTGGCTTAAAAATCTTTCTTCCCTATTTCATCTAATACCGAATATTACTCCTATGTTAATATATTAAATATTATTTTCGTTACGACTGTTCATTTTCATTGCAGAAAATATAAGGAGACGCAGGTTGCAAGATACAGATCTATTTATTTGTCGGGCCTATCGTGATACCGGGTATCGCGTTATCAGCTAGATCCGACATTGGTCGATAAATATCGCTCGGTGACCTCGTCGAGTATTTCATCGGGAAAGAGCATCGTTCCAGAGCCGCCTTCATTGCTCGGCCTCGGCATCCGCCACGCATTTGTCAAGCTCGTCCTCCGCGATAACCTTCGCGAGAACTCGCTGAATCCGAGAAGAAATCGCGGCGAATCGTTAATAACCGTCGCAGGATAGATAGGTTCGAAGGCCCGGGGTCGTCCCATATGAATTCAACGGACTTACGTTCATGGACGCCCGCGGTGCCGCGCAAGATACCGGACAACATCGTGTCCTCGAGTTACACGACGACAAGAGCATTCGTGCCGTCTTACGAAAAGTATGAATATTTAGCGCACCTAATATAAGTAGAGCAGTCGGAAAATGAATTTTATTCCGTACAGATTATGTGGACTATATGTCGTCACATGAGAGAAATAATTTATGATGTTTATTACTTTCTTACATATTTCCAATTGTTAATTAATTAATTTCAGAAACTTTGAAATCAATTCCTAAACCAACATTGCATTTAATGCAATATGAATTATGTAAAATGCATTGATAATGTACAATATTTAATTATACAACTTAATGTAATAACGTGATAACAGATAATAAGATGTTATGTAAATTAATATAAATTTAATATAACTAATACAAAAATATAATACTACAATACTAAATAGTCTAATAATATTAAATCATAAATAAATATCAACCTAAAGAAAAGTGCAATGAAATTATTTTTACGACAAAAATCTTATAAAAAATTATTCAATAATAATAATAAGTCGAAATAGACCTAATATGAATCTAATTAATTGGGGAAGATGCCATTTTTCAGACGGGTTGGATCTTGAAAGCCTAATAATAATATTTATGTGTGAATTTTCTGTACTTTTTCCAATGCAGTGAATAACTCGGTAAATAATTTCAACTTAATATTAAATAATAATTTCTCAATTTAAGAGATTTTATATATTCAGAGACTAAGAACAAGTAAAAGAAAAATATAAAGGCGAACCATTAAATTTATTAATTTTGACAGGCTGTTGTGTTAATCTGTTTTGTTATGAAAAATAAATAACAAATGGATTCGTTAAATTTTTATACTATACTTTTTATTAAATCTTAGAAAAAATGTATTTTGTTATGTATATTGTTTGTTAATTTTTACGTAGTGTAATTTTAATTTCATTACTACACACGAAAAATAATAACAGTTATAAATAATATTTTTATTTGCAATTCGCATACGGAGAGAATTGTCTCTTAAAATTTAACTTGAAAATCATGTAATTGTGGGACAACATGGCACTTTGAAGAACTTTATGAAAGTTTTCTTTTTAAATTTACTAGTAAAATGTATGGTAAAATTTAAAAAACTCTTGTAAAATTCTTCGAAATGCCATGTTGTCCCACGATTACATGATTTTCAGGGTAAATTTTAAGAGAAAATTCTCTCCGTGCATACACAGAGAAAGGCACCCTCGCATAGAACAACTACTCTCGAACGATTATCAGCGAATTTGGTGGCAGGAGAAGCTAGCCTGGGATAAGACTGTAATTGCTAAAAAAGTTGCAAGCAAGAAAATATTACCCCGTAAGGTAAACAATTATTAGAAAATTATCGATGGCGCGATTAATAAGATTGAGTATTTACAGCTAATTAAGAAAAAAGTACCGACATGCGTGACCGTCAAATATCTAACAAGAGCGGAGCGATTAAAGGAAAAAAGAAGAGAAGAGTTTAAAAAGAAATCGAACGAGAATCTTAAAACCGAAGAGACAACCCTTGCAAAGCACAGCGGTGCAAAATGTAAAAAGGACGAAGAAATTAAATCAGAAGAATGCGAAGAGACGAGATCGAAAATCCAGGAGAAAGCACAAACCGAAAATCGTGAAGAAATGAAATCAAACAAGAAAGAAACAAAATCAGAGAATCGTGCAGAAATAAAATCAGAAAAATTCGAGAAAGCGAACCAACACGAGGACATGAAATCAGAACGAATCGAGGAAGTGAAATCAGAAGAACGCGAGGGAACGAAGGCAGAAAACTACGAGGAAACGAAATCAGAAGTGCATGAACAAACGAATTCGGAAGAACGCGAGGAAACAAATTCAGAAAAATACGCGGAAGCAAAATCGGACGAACGCGAAGAAGAAACGCGATTAGAGAGTAACAAAGATACAAATGAAGAAAAATACGAGGAAAAGAAATTAGAAGGAATCAAGTGAACAACTGAATTACATAATCTCCCATTTATCTCTTGCCGAATTGAGAATAACGCAACTTCTTGGAAAAATAAAGATATTCTTGAACAAAGGATTAAAGAGTTATTAGCTTATAATTCGACGCAAAGCTCGGTTCAACTTTTACATTTTATTTAATTTTTTAATTTCTTTTAATCAATTATAAATTTGTCTATTTTTTAAATTATCGTTAATTATTTTCTTCCTTTTAAGTATAGAAAATAGCATAAACACTATAGTTACTGAGTAATTCAAATTTTTCACTAAAATATACACGTACAAAGAAGTAATTAAAATCTAGCATCCGGCTTTAATTTCCTTAATCGGTAAAAAATAATATAATAGACAGTAGTTTAATAAAAACACGTATTGTATAAACAAGCATATACAAGAGCTACATAAAAGTACCATTGCAATTGTAAACTTTTATTTAAAAAATTCCTGGCGCTAGCAAAAATCCATCCCCTCAGTGTGTCTTATGTAATTTTAAACTCTTTTTGCAAATTCTTTGTTATATAATATTTTTAAAGAAACACCTATTCATGAATTTTTTTATTCATAGAAAGAAGCCTACGATAACGGTGCTTGTGACGCCATCTCATGTCCATTTCTACCAATGCAGATTAACTTTATTTTTCAAGCGGGTAATGCAGTGCTCAATTTTGGTTGTGTTCTGTGCTGCATGCATGAAATGTCGGTAACACGAGAATGTTATTGATTTTTCCTGTGCTTTTTAGTTTATAATA